GACATCAGCCCCCGTGCAGCCCCTGGTGCTCCCCAACATGTCTAGCCCACCACACTGGAGCTCAGTCTGGCAGCTGGGGTGTCCATGGGAAAGCTTGCTGTTGGGATGTGGCTGCCTTGCTCCACAAGGTAGAGCTGGCACCCAGAGCTGCCAGATTGACTTTTTTTTTTTTTCTCCAGGGTCTCTCTGAAGACACGGGGACACCAGAGTCTGCTGTCGCACTGATAAGCTGCAGCCCTGCTCATTGCAAGGCATGGTGGGGTGTGCCTGTGGAGCACCTTGCTCAAGCAGAAATAGCCCCATCATTTGAAGAGGCTGGAGGGCATCCTGGAGGGCCAAATTCCCTGGGAAAGGGGACAGATGAGCTTCTCCAGATGGGTGTGTCTCCCCAGGCTACAGGCTTCATTGGTAGGCAAAGGTGCCCTATCAACTGGAGAGTGAGACCTCTGCACGTGCCCACCATCTTTGGGCAGTGATGAAGCTGAAAAGAGAGAAGAAAAAGGGTGGGAAAGGCAAATGAGGCACTCTGGAACTTGTAACCCTCACAGAGACAGGTGTCCTCAAAGACAGGACATTGTCTTCATAACAACGCGTGCAGAAACACCCAAGAGTTCCCACCTCTGAAACCTGCGTTTGGCAGGTGGCAGCAAACATCAGCTGAACCCCTTTGCATGCACCCCCAAGCCTCCTGTCCCCCTCCCAAGAGCCCACCACAGTGCCCAGAGCTCCCCTTGCATCCTGGGGCCCAGCCAGTCCTGGATCTCTCCCCCTGTAGTGAGCAGTGCCTAGGACACCTCAGTCCCCTCACTACTCCATGCTGCTGCTGGGAAAGTTTCATGTCTGTGTGAATGTTCAACTAGCTCCAGGGGCTCTCCAGCCCGTGCAGCTCCCATGTGAGTGCTCTCAACTTTGGGAGGACACAAAAAATTAGAGGGATGCTTTCCAACCTGACAGATGTGGCTTTTAAAGACACCAAACATGATAAATGAGAGGCGTACGGCCTCGGGAGTAGCTTTGGAGGATGCTGAGCAAGCGAGACAAAGCCAGAGCTGGCCCAGTTGTGCCGATGTGGCATGTAGGGGCAGGAGCTGAGTGGCACCAGACTTTCTGATGCCCTTGATGCACCTCACACCAGGAGCCAGCTGGCAGCCTAACGTGGAGCTGGGGTGTGCTCCAGTGTGCACCAGAACAGATAATTGGTGGGTTAGAGCTCCAACACAAAAATCCAGAGCACAGGAATGTGACAGCAAACACGCCGCCTCGAGAGCTGTGCCCTTCTGGCATGTGTGATTGATATTTTCTAGAAGATCAAAACCTTGTTGCCAAGGACAGATTGATTGCACAAGTTCTGTTATGCAACCAGCATAAAAATAAATAAAAACACAATGAGAAAAGGCTAAACAGCACTCATTTTGAAGAAAACAGTTTTTATCTCATCTCCTTCCCTGAAGGTATCCATAATGTACTTACAAGCCAGCACATCTGGAAAGCAAGACACAGACTCAAGGTGGTCTTCCTGGAAAGAGGAACACACAGGTAGGGTTATCTCTCTGGGGAAAAACCTCACTGAGAGTCTTTGTGGCCAACAATCCAGTTCTCCAAGGCTTCATCCTTCTCCTGCAATCCTGTGAATTGCCCTTTACTTCCCTTTGCAGTCTGCTCTCCAAGCCCCAGCCCTGATCTAATGCTAGAAAGCTCCAGCCAGTCTAAGGATTTCTAATACACCATGTTTCTCCTTTACTCGTTTTTCTATTGAGTTAAGCTTCGTGTTGCCAACCTCCTGAAGCAGATGAGTCCTCTCTACCATGACCACTGCTCCTGCGTGTGTCAAACCCGGCGAGTGAAGCCCTTCAGCCTTATGTGGTTAGTTCAGCAAAGTCAGAAGCACTTGAAATTGGGGTTTTGCACATGGTGAAAGGCATTCAGCATCTGTAACCATAGGCACTACTTCAACCCCCAAACAAATGCCTCAGTATAGCTGAGGTTGCTATGTACCAGTCAAAAGACTCCCAATATATCCTAAAAATAAATACAGAGATAATAGCCTGCAGAAGCCACAGTTACCTCACCAGTGCTTAATTATACTCATTTACATAATTTACAGAATCATTTCCTGCTTCTTGGACTCAAATGTCCCAGTTTCCTCCTTTTTTGTTTGCCAGCTGCCTTGGGACAGTCCCCTGCAGGTCATTGCCCAGCTTTGCCTGAGAAGTTAAGGAGAAGGAAATCTCCGCATTGCATTTGATTTTCCCTTCTGGCATGGGGTGTGCCTCACCCCAGTACTGCCCACCCTTGAGCCCGGCACCCCAGGAAACAGGAGGACACAAGGTAGAGCCACATGCCCTTTGTGTGTGTGTAGGTTCTGCACTACTCAACAAGCTCCCAGGAGCTTCTCCTGCCATCACCCCCCTCAGGAGTTCCCTGGGCCCTGTCCTGTAAACGTCACCTGCACTCAGTCTCTAACACTGGGGCTTCTGAGCAGCCTTCTCACATCAAGGGCTGTTTCACTTCTGTCCCCTGCCCCAGCCCATGCCCAGGGAAGCAGAGGTCCCCACAGTGTCACACTAGATGTGCCCTGAATACCTCTTGATGATCAGGGGTGGTGAACACTTCATCAGGGAACGTGCTCTTTGTGTTCCACCAGGGATGCTGTGGGTGCTCTGGCCTTCCTGTTTGCACTCACAAGCTGTCTTGGAAGAAAGATGTTTAAGATATCTGGGGGAAAAGAGCAGAAAAAAGGGAGGGCTAAGTCTTCATAAGGGCTTTGGCCAACCAGGTCTTGCACTGAACTCTCACTTGCCATGGAGGAATCTATTGCTGCAACACCCTGGGGCTCCCCTTGTTTCCCACTTGTCCTTCATTTTCTGATTTCCCTCTCACTTGACCCAGTTCTGCCCACTCATAAATGTCTTCAAACTTGGAAAAGGGGTGAAATATGAATTTAAATGGAAAGTGCTAGACTAAAACAAAGCTCCATCTAGTTCAGGGATGGGTAATGGATGGGTAAAGTCACCTTTGGGTTTTCAAGACTTCAAGCCTATTCTGTTCATGCCACTCCCTGCTTCCAACCACTCTCTTCCTTTCTCCGTATCTCCCCTAGGTTTACTCCATGCAAGGTGAGGTGGCCACCATTGCACCTTGCTGTAGACCAAATGTCTAGATGGTTTTTTGCTCTGTTTCCAATTACATTCCTAATTATTCTTGAAGGAGGGCTATTTGCATGAAAGCTCGTCAACTTTTTTTCCAGCTGTAGCGGCTCATCTAATAGAAAATATTATTGTCCTCTATGGACCTTGTTTCTTTTATATGCTTAGATCATCATGCCTACAAAAGCATTAATAGTAATTATTACTAACATTGCAGTGTGGACCCGAGTGAGCAGATGTACCCACAGACCAAGTCAAATAGTGCTCCCTTCTCTCTCTGAGTGCCAATTAACAGCCACCCCTCTCCTGCGGGTCTCCGCCACGTGCATTACCTTCCGCTGGCAGACACCACTGTTTGCCTGCCAGTCACTGAGAGATTTGTAAGGCTTCTTTTGCAGTAGTTCACAGTCAACTTTACATTTTACCACAGTGAATAATTTAAATTGTCTTGATCAGATGGTTTAGACATCTGTTTATCCCATTTCCCAAGTTCTGTGGAGACAAAAAAAAAAATAATGCACACTGCTCTCTCTTGTGCCAGCAGAGCATCGATTTCTTTTCCTTGGTTTTATCTTCCCTCCAATCACAACCTGGAGTGGATCCCCTCTGCTGTCCCAAAATTATTTAAGGACCAACACACCTTAGAGGAAGTCTCTTGAAAAGCCAAGTGAACAAAGCATGAACTCCATCACCTGTTTGGTGACTGCTCAGACCTATTTGTGAGATGTGATGTCTCTGTGCAAACAGGGCACTGACTCTTTGCCAACAGAGCACGGTCGTTCCTGTGGCTCCCAGCCCCTTGCTGCAGCGTCTCATGGATGTACCCCACACAGTCCTGAGACTCACGGGCCTGCTGGTCCCCAAACCACTCATCAGATCTCTGGTTTTGTGCAACAGCTGTATTTATTATGTGCTTTTATGCCCTTAGTAAGTTGCTCTTGAAAGTCCCTCTTTGACCTCCCTTGTTTTCCTTTGATCCTTCCCTTGCCAGAGCTGCCACTTTCTTCCCTTTCCCCGCTCAGACTCGCAGCCCGTCCCCCTCTGAGGGATGTCTGTTTGCTTCCAAATGCTGTGTTCAGTCTCCTGTGTAACCACACCGGCATTCTTCATCCAGAACAGGTTTCCAATAAATTATATATATATTTACCTGAGCCTTTCATGTGAGGTCTTCAGGCAATTCACTCTGTCTGAATTCACCTTTTTAGTTGCTCCCTTTGCTCAGCCAGATGCTCCATTTCAGCCAGATGCTCTCATTCCCTCTCCCGTCACTCGGTGCTGTGGTGGTTGCTGCTTCTCGTAGAAGTCTCTGACTAGATCCACATGAGAGGTGACTTTTCTACAGTTACCTCTCAAACCTGAGCAATTCTTTGGACTAAATGAAGCATTACTTCTCTGCCTCACTTTTCCAGCCAGCTGGCATGCTCAAACAGCTCAGCCTTGGCTTTGCACTGATTTATCCTCTCTGCACGGAGGGGATCAATGTTCCCTGTTATCCATGTTTTCTGTGCTGGCACATCTCTGAGTTGCTCTTGAACTCCGAGGGATCTGTCACCCTCCTGTTGGGTGCCCAATGTCAAAGTCAGTCCCAACACCAGCTTCACCCTTTCTAAGCCCACGACAGCAGCTCAGGAGGCCGCCGGGGTATTTATTGATCTAATTAATGTACCTACTGGATTTAAGACCACTCTCTCTCGAGGAAGAAAGTTTTCCTTACGTGCAAACGGAGTTCCCTTTGCTGCACATTGTGCTCATTGCACCTCAGAGAGGAACCCGGGTCCCTCCGCTCAGTGACCCCCGAGCTGGCAACAGGCTGTAGTTGTAGGGCCCCTATTTGCCCCCCCTTTCCCTGGGCAGAAGCTCTACTCGCCCCCCGACCCTCTCCCGGGAGCCCCGGGGTCGCCGCCCCCCCGCGGGGTTGAGCGGAGCCGGCGCTGCCACCCCCTCAGCCCAGGACACAGCCGGGGGTGCCCGGGGGGTCCCCCGGGGGGGGAGTCCCGTCCCCCCCCCGCCCACGGAGCGCCTCCCCGGGCGGGGCCGGCAGCGCTATAAGGGGCGGCGGCGGCGGTACCGGCCGCGCTATGGGGAGCGGGTGGTGCGGCGCGGCGCTGCTGGCCGTGGGGCCGGGTCACGGGGCGCTGCTCTTCCTCCTCCTCTTCCTCGTCCTGCTGCTGCTGGGCTGCTCCCGGCCGCTGGTGCTGCGGCGCGGCCCGGGGCGGGTGGGCTACCTGCCGGCCCCCGGGCTGAGCCGCGGGGAGGCCGCTCGCCGCGCCCGCCGCGCCCGCCGGCCCGGTGCCCTCCCGCCGCCCTACCCCAACGGCTGGTACCGCCTGCTCGACTCCGCGCAGCTGCCCCGCGGAGCCGTCCGCAGCCTCTCCCTGCTCGGTGAGTGCCAGCCGCCGCATCCCCCACCGGCCACCCCGACCCCCGCCCCGGGCAATGGGGGTGACGAGGCTCCGGATCCTGGCCAGTGGGCAGGGCATCCCTGCCGGGGGATCCCCACCGGGATAGCAGGGCATCCCTCCCCGGGCATCCCTCCCCGGGCATCCCTCCCCGGGCATCCCTACCAGGGCATCCCTGCTCGGACATCCCCATCAGGATACCAGGGCACTCTACCAGGGCATCCTTGCTGGAGAATCGGGCTTTTGTGCCCAGGCACAGCACCGAGCACCAGGGCATCCATGCCTGGCTACATCTGCTGGGGCAGTGTGGTACCCAGGCCAGCCTCCATGCTGGGGCACTGGTACATCCCAGCCAGCATCCCTGCTGGGTCACCAGGATATCCCTGCCCCGACAACTCCACTGGGGTACCAGGGAATCCTGGGCGGCATCTCTGCCAGGGGAACAGTGCATCCCTGCTGGAGCACAGGGACATCCCTGCCCAGGCAGCCCCACCGAGGCACCTCATGCAGACATCCTCACCGAGGCACTGGGGCACTCCAGCCTGGTGTCCTGCTGGGGTGTGTGGGTATCCAAACCAGTATCCATGCTCGCCCACTGCAGTGTTGCTGCCTGGCCCCCCTGCCAGTGTGCAGGGCACCCCTGCCTGGGCACCCCTGCCTGGGCATCCCTGCCTGGGGCCTCTGCTGGGGCACTGGGACAGCTCTGCCCAGGTATCCCCTTCAGGGCACCCCATTCAGCACCCACATGAGGCACCAAGGGTGTCACAGCCTCAGCTTTTGCGTGGGCATTGAGTATCTCTGCTTGGCCACCGGGACACCATGGCACAGGAGCCTTGAGGGTGTGCAGGGCACCGCTGGCTGGGCTCCTTGCTGGGACACCGGCCCATCCTGCTGCCTGGGCTCTCCTCCCAGGCATCGCTACCTGCAGCTCCCCATGGCCTGGGGAGATGAGGATGGGGCTTCACAGCCACGTCCAGAGGGGTGCTGTGCTTGTCCAGGGTTGTTGCACACAATTTTGGACTTGTGCTGGTGGCTTCCTCGTTAGAAAGGATGTTTCTTCATTGAAATCCCTCAGATTCAGTGGTAAACGTGTAAGGTGTTTTCTATGTTCAAGAGCCAATCTTTCCTGTGAAGTTGTTTGGTTGTTTCTGTATATTGTTTCTGTATATTCTGTATATACAATCTAACATACAGGCCTAGAGAGCCCCGTATCTATTACGACACCCTTCGTTGTCTGCCCAAAGCCTGGTTCCTGGCACCCAGTTCTCTGGGTCTGGCTGAAATGTGCCTGTAAAATCATTTCTAGTGGGAGAGTGACAGCAGTGTAGTGGTGCCAGGAAGATTATCAGTAAATAAGACAGTTAAACAACCTGTAGCCTCCAGGTTTGTGGATGTCTAATTTATTTTGGAGTCTCTGAGCATAGCCTGGAAATGTAGCCCTGCTCCACAGGCAGCGAGCCAGAGGAGATGAAAGCATAAAAATCATCTGACTCAGCCCCTGTAAGACTCATCCTTCGGGATGGGACACCTTCCAGAACATGGCACTGAGCAGGCAGGAAAGCCTCATTCTCTCCTGAGACTGTGGAAGTGGGGTGAGAGCCCCTCTGATCCATGGGGCACCGCGCAGTGATGCTGTCTGGGTGCCTGCTGCAGGGAAGCTGCTCAGACCCAGCCAGGCTCCTGGGCAGGAAAACCCGAGTGCATCCTCTGAGCCAAGTGCCCAAAGTGCAGGGTGGTCCTTTATGTCCCATGTGCTGTTCTTGCTGCAATTGCCATTTGATTTCCATAAAAGAAATGGGCTAATTTAATAGGAAAATGTCAGTATGTGGCTCTTAATACTCTAATATTCACCCACAGCAGAGTTTCTCAGTATACCTTAGGCCAGGATACTGCCCTCCCAAGTGGAGAGACATCAGATTTGATGCACAAGCCAGAGCAGAGATCAGCTTCTCCTCTGGCTCTGCTGGCTCCAGAGGGCAAAGGCTGGAGGCAAAAGCAGCACTTTCTCAGGAATCCTGGGTGAGGTTTTTGGACAGCCCAGCAAGGGTCTGGCCATGGGCTAGATCTTCAAGGCTGAAGAGCTTCAAGCTGTCTGTATGAAGGAAAGCTGTAGAGGTGGGGCCTTCTTGGAGTAAAACTGTCTTAAAACTTTGGTGGACAAAGCACCAGGCTGCAGGGCTGCTCCTTGGGGACCCCCTGGGCTCCAGGTGCTCTGGTCTGACCCATCCGATGCTCCTCCTCTGTGTGTCCACACTGCTGGTGAACCTGCAACACCTCCCAAGACAGGCAGGAACCCTTTCCCCTCTTTGTCCTGAACCTCAGGTCAAGTAGAGAGGCAGGTTGGAGAGAAAGGAAAATGCTGATGTTTCAGAATGACTCCCTGTTACCTGGGGCAGGGAGAAGGACCTGCACCTCGAGTGTCACCACTCCCCTGTGCCTTCTGCAGGCAGATGTGTGAGAGCCTTCCAGAAAGACTGGAGGGACAACAGAGCCAGGTGTCCTGAGCAAGGAGGGGCCTCCAGGCACTGGAGTACAACCAGATATCAGAAATAATGATTCCTAGGCTCCAAAGCTGGGAAAGTTTGCAGGGTTTCCTTTTCTTTGCTCAGACCACAAAATTTCAATCAAAGAAAGTGGGTTTGGGTGGGATGGATCACACTCTGTCACATCATTGGTGTGTCTGTCTGGGGAAATACGTACAGAACTTGGCTCCCAAAGTTTAGTTTGGTCTTATCTCACTTGTTGAGCTTTAAGTTCCAGCAGCAGCTGTAAAGATCAGATTCCACATGCTGATGGAATCTGAGTACGTATATGCATACGCTGGAGCACAGTATGGAAGAGAGGACCTTGGGGCACCTTCCCTGGCCTTTAACTCAGTGGCCACGTATGAACAGCCCAAGTGCTTCTGAGCTCCCAGACCAGCTGCATTCCCTTCCAGCCAGGACATGAACTGAGGGGACACTGGAGCAGGTCTCGCTTTGCTTTCAGGCCAGTTCCCCGTGGAGCAGCCCCTCTCCTCTGAGCCACGGGCAGGGATGTGGGTGGTGGCAGGAATGATGCAGGTTCTGGCAGGGATGAGGTGGGTGTTGGCAGATCTGTGGTGCCACAGTACCCTTGGAGCACCTCTGTGTCGGGTTGGGAAAGCACCTGGCACATATTCTGTCCCTCCAGGAAGAGCATTTATTTAGATAATACTGTGACATGCCATCCAGCCATGGTTCCTTGCACAGCTGGGTGGAGCGGTGCCATGAACAGATCTGTGGGTCATAGCCCAGGAACTCTCTGTCTCTCCTTTTTAGTAGTCCCTTGCTCAGCTGAGGCAGCGCTGCCCTGGCAGTGGGGAGGAAGAAGAGGATCCCAGAGCTAAGCAGGGATGGATCCCAAAAGGGCAAACCTCACATCGCTTCATGGAGCACAGGGAATTGGGCGCAGCAATGGAGAATAGCAAGTCTGAGTGTGGGGGCAACGTGGCCCCAGCCGCGCTGGCACTGACCCTCCACTGCCTGCCTGGAGCAGACTGGAGTCAGGCCCTTCCCTTCCCTTCCCTTCCCTTCCCTTCCCTTCCCTTCCCTTTTTCCCTTCCCCTTTTCCCTTCCCCTTTTCCCTTCCCCTTTTCCCTTCCCTTCCCTTCCCCCTTCCCTTCCCTTCAAAACTCCCTTTTGCTGAGGAGGTGTCAGGGCTCTGGCCCACAGCCCCCATCCGTCCCTGCTGGAGGAAGGTCTCCCCCACCGAGCCGTGCAGACAGCTCTGGGGGTTGGAGAGCAAAGAGACGAAGGTCTTCTCCTTCCAGCGACCATTGCTCAGAGATTCCTGAAATGTATGAGCCTGCAGTCTCTGCTCTAACCCTCTCAGGCAAAGGGACAGGAACAGTTTTCTTCACATGCAGCTATTGCTCTGCTCTGTGTGGATCCCTCCCTTAGCAGGGGAAGCATCCTGAACCTGTAAATATTTATGTGAAAGCAGCTTTTATCCTACACCTGAGACAGGGTCTGAGAGCTCAAAAACCAGGGCTGAGGGCCAAAGCCAGGAGGGTTTAGAAACGACCAGGAGAAATTATGCTCCCCCCCTACCCGGAGCAAGGCAGTGCCCTTCAGCGGGGTGGTTTCTGTGCTCCAGCAGCTCCTTGGGACACTGGGCACCTTGGGACTCGGGGCAGCTGCCCGGCTCTGCAGGGTGCCAACGTGCAACGTGCCAACGTGCAACACGGGCTGCGACAGGCTGTGGAACAACCCTTCCCTGCTCTGGGACATCTTTTGAACCCCAGCAGCAAGCTGCCAACGTGCAACATGGGCTGCGACAGGCTGTGGAACAACCCTTCCCTGCTCTGGGACATCTTTTGAACCCCAGCAGCAAGCTGACGGCCACCACAGCCTGGGCATTTGTGACAGCATCTGCCACCCCAATTCAGCACAGCCCTTTTTTGCAGGCAGCAGATGCCTCCTGCCTGCATCCTGCCTGCAGGTCTCCCCTGCCCGCAGGCACCAGCTCTGGCAGCGGCCTGGTGCCATCTCGTGGTTAAATAACTTCTCTGGAGCGAGCATATTCCTGTCCTGCCACTGCTCTTCCACTAGGAAAGAAAGAAAACACCCAGTATTAATTTTTTAGCAGGATATTTCTGCACATTGGGTGCAATGTTTGGTAAAAGCCAGTTCAGATGTGATAGATACCCCATTCCTGGAAACGTGCCAGGTCAGGTTGGATGGGGCTCTGAGCAACCTGGTCTAGTTGAGGGTGTCACTGCATGTGGCAGAGGCATTGGACTAGAAAGTCTTCAGAGGTCCCTTGCAGCCCAAACTATTCTGTAATTCTGTAAGGGGCCACGCGATGTGTGACACCCCACCCACCCTCATAGAATCATTATGGTTGGAAGGGCCCTTTCAGATCATCGAATCCGACCGTCATCCCCCTACTGCCAAAAGCACCACTAACCCATGTCCCTCAGCACCACATCTGCCCGGCTTTTAAATATCTCCAGGGATGGTGACTCCACCACTGCCCTGGGCAGCCTCTTCCAAGGTCTCACAACCCTTTCAGTGAAGAAACTTTCCCCAGTATCCATCCTAAACTTCCCCTGGTGCAACTTGAGGCTGTGTCCTCTTGTCCCATCGCCTGTTCCTTGGGAGAAGAGACCGACCCCCCCTGGCTACACCCTCCTTTCAGGGAGTTGTAGAGGGCAAGAAGGTCTCCCCTCAGCCTCCTTTTCTCCAGGCTGAACACCCCCAACTCCCTCAGCCGCTCCTCACAAGACTTGTGCTCCAGACCCCTCACCAGCTCCGTTGCCCTTCTCTGGACCCGCTCCAGCCCCTCAATATAGGGATGTTGTTTTCACAATCTCACAACCTTGTATTTCTGCAGGAGAACAGCTCGCTGTGTTTCGCACCCAGGATGGCCAAGCCCATGTGGTGGACACTTACTGCCCTCACCTCGGGGCTAACCTTGCTGCCGGCGGGCGCGTCGTGGGCAACTGCATCGAGTGCCCCTTTCACGGCTGGCAGTTTCGAGGAGAGGACGGAAAATGCACCCGCATCCCCTACGCTGAAAAAGGTGACTTCCCCCCAGATCCACAGAAAACATCTGCAGCGATGACAGTGCCCTGTGTGTGCGCTCATTAAAAGCTACTTCATTAAGGAAAAATGGTCCATTAAGGAAAACTAACTCACCCTCCATCCTGCTCTCCTATTTCATGCAGTGCCCTGCTTCTCCTCCTGGGTTGTCCATGTCAGGGTATGAATTTCTAGTGTCCTTTCCTGTGTTAGATGGTAACTGGAACTTTAGTTAAAGAACTGCCCTTCTTGATTTTGATAATCCTACAACTCCTGCATTCAGCAAGCAGGGTATAAAAGATTTTTAACTCTGAGTCATGCATTGCACCAGCAGGCATGGATCCTGAGGAGCTATTGGGTTTCAGAAATGATTCTGTGCTCTATAGCGATAGCTTATACCACGTCAGTGCTTAAATCTGTCACATTAGCATGACAGAATAGTCTCTCAATGGGATTTTTTCTCCTTTTAAGGCTAGAAAGGAACTTTTGGTTGGAATCCAGGAGAGCTCTTCGCATACACCTACCATTTAGATATGGTTTGCGTTGACTGTGTAGGAAGAATATCTTACTTAAAGTTCACATTAACAATTACTTGATCTGGCTGCACTAATTGGTTTAAATCACCAGTTCTAGACATGGCTGAAACCAGCAAAGAGACCTTCCTTGAGTTTTGCTTTGGCTTGTGCTTCTTAGTTATTTTTCTGAGAAATTCAACTTCAGTTGAGATTGATTGGGACAGCAATGCAAACATTGATTTGCAGCAAAAGTCAGTCTTCCTGCTAAACAGACCATTTTCCCCCAAAGTGAAAGAAACATTCCATCTACATGGGGTAAGAAGAACAATTTCTAGATCTCACTAAACAGCAATTCCTTTTGTGTGTGTGTGATGTTTTCACGAAAAGGATGAATACTCTATATTTTCCCTATACATACTCAGGAGCTGCATTTGATTGAAAAATTGTTTCTAAATTGTAATCAAAGATGTATTTGATCACAAAATGAGAATGAATATTCTGGTTATGCAGGAATGCTTGCCAAAATGCATTGTTTCAGCTGAAACTGCTGCATTCAGATTTGTGGTTATCTGATACTAAGAGACCGAAACTGCAGACAGCTGCCCTGCTCCCAGTGCAGCCCAAATGGGTCAGGTTGATATAAACAGATTTAAAAGCCATCTGTGCTCATGCAGGTCACTTTGAGAGGGGTGTTGGAGAGCTGGGATGGGCAGCTCCTGCGGCACTGGGCTTGCAGGGGACCAGCAGCCAGAGCCCAGCCGGGGGCTGGATGTCTGTCTGGGGGCAGGTGAAGGCCTCTTTAAAATCAGAGACTCATAGAATTATCTAGTTTGGAAGGGACCTTTAAGACCATCTATTCCAACCATCAACCTAACTGACAAAAAAACCATCACCAACCCATGTCCCGAAGGTCTCCCCTCAGCCTCCTTTTCTCCAGGCTGAACACCCCCAGCTCCCTCAGCTGCTCCTCATCAGACTTATTTTCCAGACCCCTCATCAGCTCCGTCGCCCTTCTCTGGACCCACTCCAGCCCCTCAATGTCTTTTTTGTGGGAAGGGGCCCAAAACTGGACACAGCCCTCGAGGTGAGGCCTCACCAGTGCCCGGTACAGCACCATCACCTCCCAAGTCCTCCTTCCCACGCTGTTCCTGACACAGGCCAGGATGCTGGTGGCCTCCATGGCCACCTGGGCACACTGCTGGCTCCTGTTCAGCCAACAGTTGACGAACACCCCCAGGTCCCTTTCTGCCCGGCAGCTCCAGCCCCTCTGCCCCCAGCCTGGAGCGCTGCGTAGGGCTGGTGTGACCCAAGGGCAGGACCCAGCACTTGGCCTTGTTGAACCTCAGAAAGTTTCAACAAAAAAAATATATCGCGAGATGCATCCCACCCAAAGCACTATTTTTTTTTTCAATCAGAAATCACAGCAAAGGTCTCCTTCTGTCCCCTCAGACAGTCATTGGCTGAAAGAGAAACATAATTTCTCCTGTTATTTCACTTCCCACGTGACTGTACAAGGCTGAATAATAAGGAAACGCTATGCTCTGTGCTTGTTTGCAAATTAGAAAAGATAGTAATGAAAGCAAAAACCTTCTGACAATTGGGCAAATATAAATGCCAAAATTCATTTTACCAGAAGGGCTGCAGATTTTAAAGCAGCACATGGTACTGCAGGATTGGAACAGAGACTGATTTGAACTCAAGGGGTAGAGATGGTTTTTACTCTCTGCACATCTGTAACTAAAAGCGTCTCATTGAAGCTTGAGGAGGGTCCATTGATGTAGCAGACACTAATCATTTGGACAGTTTTGAGCAGTGAAAGAGGCTGCAGAGCCATGCTTCTTTCTTAGAAAACTTATGCAAAATACTCAACTGAAATAAAAGTGATTTAAGCAAATATTTTTATGTGAACTTCAGAAGCTGTTGTCCTTCTTCAGCAGCCTGAAGGGTGGCAAGTGTCACCAGAGTGTCTGTGCCACGTGAGTGTCACCCATAATGAGCTCTGGGCCATGATTGAGGATGAGGTGACCCTTAGAACCAGCATCACTCTTGGAGATGACACTTTTAAGCCATTCTTTTCTCCCCTGCAGTGCCGGATTTTGCCAGGGTGCAGACCTGGCCATCCTGCGAGGTGAACGGGATGCTGCTGGTCTGGTACCACTGCGAAGGGGCTGGTCCCACGTGGGCAGTGCCCAAGCAGCGGGAGGTGGCCACCAAGGAGTGGGTGTTCCGAGGCCAGACGGAGCACTTGGTGGATGCCCACATCCAGGTAGGGAGCCTTGTCCACTCCTGGGTCCTCTCCTACAGTCCAGTTCAGGGCCATCTCCTCCCAGTTAATCCATTTATGGACATCTCCCTCCCAATTAACTGGGCTCTGCCTGTGCCCGGTGCCACCACTGCTGCCGGCAGAGCTCAGACCCAGAATAACACCCCAGCACTGCAGCCTGGGAATACAGCATACGTTCCCCAAACACAGATCGTGAGCTTCTTGAGCAGAGAGCAGATGTTCTGGGTACTTAAAGGGAATATGTTAATTTGCTTTGACTTATAACTGATGTAATTAAAAAAAAAAAAGAAGAAGAAGAAGATTCTCTAAGAATTGCGGCACTTAGTGTCAGGAGGCTTTTCAACTCATCGATCACCACAATGGAAACACAGGGTTATTTTGCTGTTAATCTTCATAATCACCATCACACGCTGACAAATGTGCCTCGGGGAATAAAAAAAGGCTGTTGCCTCCATCACGTCTCAGCAGAAACGGGGCTGGAAAAGGGGCACGGTTCTGTGGCACTGAAGAGGGGTGACGGTGGCCAGGGTCCTCGGGGGGAGTCAGGGGCATCCACGGGTGGAGGCTCCCCCGGGAGAGCAGTGGGAGGGAGCAGCAGGTCTGAAAATGCGCAGTCCCTTGGCATTTCAGACCTTGGGAGATTTGTAGCTACTTGCCACTGAGCAGAACAGTTCTATTTGTAAAAATCAGTGACAAAAAATGACAATGTCAAGCCCACTTCTCTCCAGAGGCAGCACCCGTCTGGTGACTAAATCATGACTAAGGTGAGTCGGTTAGAAAGAAACAAAGAATGATTAGAAGAAAAGAAGAAGGTGCATGAGCCAGGGTAGATAAGGCTTCGGGAGTGGGCAGAGGAGTTGTGAGAAGCAGAGAGAATCTGGGAGATTGATGGGATAATAATTATTTCATCTCTGCTTTTCAGTACAAGACACAGTACACAGATCTACACAGGGGCCAGGCTGTGCTACTTGCCAAGCTGGTAGAAAGCTGGGGTATTTGGGTAGTAAAGCAGCTAAAACTTCTGAAAAAGTGACATAATGTGGGCAGGCTGGTGGGGTTTAAAGGTTTGAAAGTGTGTGAAAAGTTGTCTAGGAGCACAAGCACAAAAATCCTTTATTCCTTACTATTATAACAGGGCCAAAGGAAAGAGTTCTTTGGAGTCCCAGCTTGTGCAGCAGCAGAAGTTAGCATGCTTAGGCTCCTGTGAGCTTAAAATGAACTCTGAATTTTCTGAGCTTCATGTTTAAATTACTCCTAAACACTAATTAAGACTAGTCCCAAGTCAGTCTGTGCTGAGGCCCCTTCCCCTGCTCACTCAGTTGCCTCTTGTGCCATGTACCTGCGAGCATTGCTGCTGCGCTCAGTGATGTGCCTTGGGCTCTCCAGCAGTGCCATTGCGATGCTGCTCTTAAATACAGGCAGCTCCCACCCAACTCAGCTCTCACCAATGGCAAATTGTTCCCCGATGGCAGGAAATCCCCGAAAATGCGGCTGACACAGCTCACCTGGCTTTCGTCCATGGACCAGCAATTCTGGGTGGATCCGATCTGAGATACACAAGGTCCAAGCTGTGGGATTTTATGAAGCACATCTGGAAGGTAAGACTCTGGCTCCCCTCTTAACCATGAGGAGGTCGAAGTCTTTCAAACCAGGTCCCCTTTCTGTCTCAAAACATCGGTCCCACCTCACCCCCTCTCCTGCATCCCCCCATCTTCAGGTCCAGTCTCTTTTCTGTGTCTCTGAGGGTTTTGTCTCCCAATTAACTGGGCTCTGCCTGTGCCCGGTGCCACCACTGCTGCTGGCAGAGCTCAGATCTAGAATAACACCCCAGAACCGCAGCCTGGGAATACAGCATACGTTCCCCAAACACAGATCGTGAGCTTCTTGAGCAGAGAGCAGATGTTCTGGGTACTTAAAGGGAATATGTTAATTTGCTTTGACTTATAACTGATGTAATTAAAAAAAAAAAAGAAGAAGAAGAAGATTCTCTAAGAATTGCGGCACTTAGTGTCAGGAGGCTTTTCAACTCATCGATCACCACAATGGAAACACAGGGTTATTTTGCTGTTAATCTTCATAATCACCATCACACGCTGACAAATGTGCCTCGGGGAATAAAAAAAGGCTGTTGCCTCCATCACGTCTCAGCAGAAACGGGGCTGGAAAAGGGGCACGGTTCTGTGGCACTGAAGAGGGGTGACGGTGGCCAGGGTCCTCGGGGGGAGTCAGGGGCATCCACGGGTGGAGGCTCCCCCGGGAGAGCAGTGGGAGGGAGCAGCAGGTCTGAAAATGCGCAGTCCCTTGGCATTTCAGACCTTGGGAGATTTGTAGCTACTTGCCACTGAGCAGAACAGTTCTATTTGTAAAAATCAGTGACAAAAAATGACAATGTCAAGCCCACTTCTCTCCAGAGGCAGCACCCGTCTGGTGACTAAATCATGACTAAGGTGAGTCGGTTAGAAAGAAACAAAGAATGATTAGAAGAAAAGAAGAAGGTGCATGAGCCAGGGTAGATAAGGCTTCGGGAGTGGGCAGAGGAGTTGTGAGAAGCAGAGAGAATCTGGGAGATTGATGGGATAATAATTATTTCATCTCTGCTTTTCAGTACAAGACACAGTACACAGATCTACACAGGGGCCAGGCTGTGCTACTTGCCAAGCTGGTAGAAAGCTGGGGTATTTGGGTAGTAAAGCAGCTAAAACTTCTGAAAAAGTGACATAATGTGGGCAGGCTGGTGGGGTTTAAAGGTTTGAAAGTGTGTGAAAAGTTGTCTAGGAGCACAAGCACAAAAATCCTTTATTCCTTACTATTATAACAGGGCCAAAGGAAAGAGTTCTTTGGAGTCCCAGCTTGTGCAGCAGCAGAAGTTAGCATGCTTAGGCTCCTGTGAGCTTAAAATGAACTCTGAATTTTCTGAGCTTCATGTTTAAATTACTCCTAAACACTAATTAAGACTAGTCCCAAGTCAGTCTGTGCTGAGGCCCCTTCCCCTGCTCACTCAGTTGCCTCTTGTGCCATGTACCTGCGAGCATTGCTGCTGCGCTCAGTGATGTGCCTTGGGCTCTCCAGCAGTGCCATTGCGATGCTGCTCTTAAATACAGGCAGCTCCCACCCAACTCAGCTCTCACCAATGGCAAATTGTTCCCCGATGGCAGGAAATCCCCGAAAATGCGGCTGACACAGCTCACCTGGCTTTCGTCCATGGACCAGCAATTCTGGGTGGATCCGATCTGAGATACACAAGGTCCAAGCTGTGGGATTTTATGAAGCACATCTGGAAGGTAAGACTCTGGCTCCCCTCTTAACCATGAGGAGGTCAAAGTCTTTCAAACCAGGTCCCCTTTCTGTCTCAAAACATCGGTCCCACCTCACCCCCTCTCCTGCATCCCCCCATCTTCAGGTCCAGTCTCTTTTCTGTGTCTCTGAGGGTTTTGTTTGCGCTCCTTCATCTATGCTCATCTCCAGATGTTCTTCACAACCAGCTCTTGTCACCATCTCACTGCTGCCTCCCCTCATCCCATACTTCTGTCTACCCATCCCTCGGACTGAGCCCCTCATTCTCCATCCCTGCAGGCGGAGTGGCAGCCGGAGCCGGAGCCCAACCAGCATTGCTCCCGGCTGCTGCTTCAACACACCGCAACCATCTTCGGGAAGCACGTCTCCTTGATGGATTTGACAGTTTCAGCCAGGCAGGTATGTCCCACGCTGGTGAGCGCCAGTGCCCCAAGATGGCTTTGTCACCCAAAAGCCTGAGTCTGTGCCCATCCTGCCCAGTGTGGCCTTTCCTACCCAGTGTGTCAGGCACAGGGGCCAGAACCTACACACCAACACTGGGGCTGCTGCACAGCAGGGAGAAAAGAGAGGGTCTGTAAGGACTGCTCTGCCCACAAAACAACAGGAAAAATAAAAAGCTGGAACCTGAGCGGTGGTGACAATCCTGAAAGACCTTCACACCGCCTCGTCACAGCTCTTTACAGTACAGACGTGTGGACCTTCTTGGTCCATGGTGGACATGCCTGGGAAAGTCAGGAGCAGCCTGTTTTGTAGCCCAAGATCAGCCCTGGATGCAGGGAATTAAAGGGAAATAGAAATAATGCCACCAAACACAAATCAGTGGGAACTGGATCTTCTCACTTTCATTTTTGGTTGTGGTTGTTTGTTAATTAATAATTTGTTAATGAAATGCTAAGCTTGTCTGATAAAACTAGTAGCTTTTTTTCTAGTACATTTTTGAAGTCATTTGATCTATTCCCTACTACAAAATCAGAACAATAGCAAAACAAGTCATGACACAAAACTGAGATAGGGACAGATGTTGGTCTAATGAGGGAATTATCACAAAGTGGATGTTGATTGTGTCTCTGTTCAGTGCTATTTAGCCCTGATATCAACAAACAGGAGAAAATAGACAGTAAAATAACCTTACAAAGAGTGTGTACCCAACCAAACATTAAAGAAGTAGTACATAAAGTAGCTGAAAAAAATCAGCAATATTTACTCTGCTTCAGAGAACCAAGTGTATGACCACGCACCTGCATGTCTGGGTGCACGTCAAAGAGCAGGGACCAGGTACTTCATGTCATGCGAGATGAAAGGCTGAACCTGATTTCAGCTAAAACCTGCTGTGACTGTTGTAGCTGCAAAGGAGGAAGGCAGAGCAGGAGCAGGGATGTTGTGTTACCTCCATATCACGTTGCAGTCACTGCTGTTGAGATCGGAGCCCAGGACTGGTGTCCACCATCCAGTAAGGATATTGATATGATATGATGACCCCACGGTCATTCAGTGATGAACAACAAGACCCAGTGAAAATTTGGAAACATTGTCTAGAAGATTAGATTTTTAACTTCTTGGGACCACTGTAAACTCTCATGACTTCCCGTGGGTCCACAGGAAAGCCATCCATCCCTGACACATCTGTGAATGTCCCCTGTGCTGGGGAACATTCCCAGTGACGAGCAGTCTGTGACTCACAGCCATGAGGCACAGCTTTGACTTGTGTCTATTATCTGATGAAAAGATAGAGTAAAGGGGGACTTGAGCACAGTCTGGGAGATATTTCAAGCAGTGCTCAAGCTGCGGGAGCTGCTGTACCAGGGGGGTGGACCATCCGAGGCTGTTCCCTGAGGGTGCTCTGTTGCTCTGCAGGTGGGGCCAGGGCTGGTTTTCCTGCTCTTCGAACATGCTTTCCTGGGCCGTGGGATCATCCTGCAGACAGTGACACCCCTGGAGCCTCTCCTACAGAACGTCGTCCACACAATCTACTACCAGAAGAACATGCCGGCCATAATCCCCAAGTTCATCCTGAGAGCAGAATGTATACAGGTAAGACCTCTGAAGAAGCGCAGCCAAAGGTGGTCCCCTGGAGCTTCATGGCTAGAAAGTGTGGGAAGGAAGAGCAGTTGCCCACATGGGCTCAGATATCCATGGGATTCTTTCAGTGCTTGGTTTGGTCTTTCATTTTTAGTAGCCCAAAGAACTAAACTGGAAGTTTAGTAAAGAGGGTCTCTGCAGTGGGTCATCCATTCAGGGTGGCAGAGAGGTGCCACCCCTCTCCTGTGGATGCAGAATTGGGGCACAAGGATTAGCCAACCTTTCCCAAGCTGCAGCAAGTCTTTGAGGGAACTAATTACTGCATCCAGATTTCCAGCATCCCAGGCTGGTGCTTTAAGAGCATCCTATCTCCTTTGGTGAGAACTGTGTCAAGAAATCCTCCTGTTGTTAAAGTACTGTGAAATTTGGCAACCCTTGCCCCTCCTGATGGAGGTTGTCCAGGTTCTTACCTCAGGGATTCATGGAAGTGGTAAAAGGTCCCTCTGGGGGTCTCCAGTTCTAATCCCAGCTGGGGCAAGACTGTCGCCAAATTCAGGTCAAACATGGCTCCTTTGGAGAATGCCCACATCTCTCCAGCTCCTTGAGTAACCCATTCCATTATTGCTTTGCTCATATTGATAGTTTTGATTTTTAATGTCCAATTTGAACCTCTCAACCTGCAACCTGTAGCTGTTACTGCTTGTTACACCCGCTGACTCTACCAAGGAAAATCTCACTGTGTCATCCCTGTAACTCCCTGTCACACAGCCAGAAGAGTTCACATCATCCCCTTCTGTCAGGGGTTCAAGCCTGGAAAAAATTTGATCTGACCAGAGAGGGTTTCACTGGCACTACAGTAAAAATTGCTAAAAGATGATTTTTCAGATGCCAAAAATGTACCCCAAATCAAAGTTTGTATGGTATCAATGCTGGCTTAATATTTTGTGTCTTATTAATGCAAATGAGCCGCACTCATTTCTGCGGAGACGTACTCGCAAAAGAAAACTCCATAACCCTACTCTGTGTGTATCCCAGCAGAGTTTAAGGTGTGGATGAGGAATTTATAACGCCTTGCTTGGCTGGAGCTACCCAACAAATCAAAAATCTCAGGTGGAGCAGCTCCTACCTACACAACATCCATTTCTTTTCCAGGATCTCCTGTGACAGGGGCAGTCTAAGCTCAAAGTGGCTTCTTGTTTGGGAGCTACGATGGGCTAAAGGTCCCCTAACTGCAGTCAGAGCCATAGCGTTAGTAGTTACAAATAGCATGAGCAGTCCCACACCGGCCATTTGGGACAAACGCTGTAAAATAACCCTAGTGTCAGGCAGCACACACAAAACTGCTGGTTCAGCTTCCCCACCTGAACAATCTTCTCCTTCTCCCCCCAGTTTGAGCGCGATATAACCATCTGGAATAACAAACGGTATCTGCCCAAGCCTCTGCTGGTCAGAGAGGACTCCACCATCCAGAAGCACCGGCGCTGGTTCGCCCAGTTCTACAGCGAGAAGAGCATGAGGGTCCCGGCGCAGAAGGAGGGCCTGGACTGGTGAGGACCTCCCTGCCCACTGCAGAGGGTGGCCAGAGGTTCTCAGGTGGCTCCTACCACCCTGGCTGGTGGGCAGTGGTGCTGGGCAGGCATGATCAAATATTGGCCCTGGGCAGGAGCCTGAGCCCTGGGAATCCTCTTACTCCTTTCTTACTCAGGGCATCAAAGCTCAAAGGGTGCAACACCTTCTACAGGCAACGTAAAAGCTGAGCATGAACTTAAGATTGCCAGAACTGCCTTCAAATTGCCTTTGTCTCTTGCTGCTGCTATTTTGAGTAGTTATATGAAAAACTTTCCATGGTGGCCTTTTATTGCCAGAAGTGTCCTTTCCCATCCAGACCGTTGTGGCTTCTGGACCGTCCCCTTGGCTGGACCAAGCTTCAGCTCTCCAGGGGAGCCTTGGCCAATGTCTGCATGGCATCAGGAGGATGATTGCAAAGCCCACAGACACTTCCCTCTGGCAACAGGCAGGGCAGCAGGGGTTTTGGCTGCCCACCATGTCCTTAGTATTCTTCTAGGCTTCCTCGAGCCTACCGAGATCTTGTATGAGCCAATTCCTTATGGAGCTATTGCACTTCATTGAGAAGAAGAGGGACTACTCTGGTGACCAAATCACTTAAACTGACAACAACTTGGCAGGTCAAGGATGTGAATAAGATCCTGTTTTGATAGCTCCTGGATTCCAACAATACCTTGGGTACATGGTTGGCTGTAAAAATTTGTCTCATGGCAAGAACATGGCTGTCACTTCCAGACACTGTGATCAGAAACGAGGCTCACACATGGAGACTAGGCTGCAACTCTGATGAAAATTGGTTGAAATTCTCCTGCGCTTTGTGCCTACGTGCTCTGTACTGAAGGGTTAAATTCTGCCTTGCTGCATTCTCTAGAGAAACCTGTAATCCATAGGCCTGGGATAGTTCTCAGGACTCTGGCAGTTACTCTCTGCCAAGAGCCAGCAAGACCAAATGCTCAAATCCAGCTTTCCAAGGAAGCTTGAGCTGCTGCTCTCATGCCTGTGCCTTGTCATCTATGCACTTTGCTGAGGCTTCTGGTGCCTCCTTCACCATTAACCCATAGAGCAGGACCAGGAGCAGGAACATCACCTGCCCCAACAGCATCCCAGATAACCCTGTGCAAGCTCTGTCCTCACCATTCTCTCGCACTGTCAATATTTCTTTAATAAATTTTTTAAAACTGATTCTATGTTCACGGTTTGTTGTTCTTCACTGTTTTGTGGGGTATTCTTGATGGGAGAAGTGATTCTGCAGCTGGGCTGTGCTGTCCTGCTTCAGGTGCCACAGGGGATCTCCAGCAAAGAACTTAAGGAGATGGCAGGAACTTGGACAAGGAGCATTGTCCAACTTAACAGCCTGAGCCTCTCAGGGGCCTGAGAGCCCTGCTATGTCTTAGTGTTCTTGACCAGTCTCATCTGGGTGTTCATCCATTAACCTACCTATGGCCCAGAAGACCCATTTCAGCTCAACTCTGGACCTTCAGCCCCTGTCTTAAGCTATGCTATAGAAGTCTCCAGCTCAGACACCCCCACACCTGGCTTATCTGAACTCTGATCACAGACTGACATCCCAGCTTGACCTCTGCCCTGTCCCATCACCGTGGACCTGCCCAGCAATTGCTGGGATGTGCCTGACCCTGGCTACCCCGCCAGATCCCAAACCCAAGTTGCACTTTGACTTCCCAGCTTGTCCTCCGACCAGCCTCGTCACCATGAGCTGCCCCCTAAATCTGGACTCTCGGTTGAGTCTGGCCATGACTTCTGGGCCTTCCCTGCCTGTCACACTTGGGGGTGGTGGGACCCCCTCAGCCCCCAGCACCCCGTTCCTCAGGGAGCAGCTGCCCTCATGGTGATGGGGTAGCAGCGAGAGGCAGAAATTTCAACTACAAAGACAGGGATGTTACGTTACATGATGTGTCACCCACACTTCCAAGGGCCACCACACACACATGCACAAGTACAGACACCTCACACATGGACACACACGCACAAGTACAGACACCTCACAACAGCCCTGGGCTGCTGCTCCCTGCTCCTCACTGTGTTCCCACACATAGCATCTCAGGATGAGGAAAAGTCCAAGTAAGGCAAATTCTTGAAGATCAGGTTAGAGTTGATGAGTTAAATTAGCTTCATGAATTCTGAAATGAGAGAAAACTGTGAGATACTTCCAGCAGGGTCTGAATTCTGAGCTACCTTTTCCTTTATTACTAAGGCTAAAGTAGTTGTGTCCTGTTAAGGCAGAAATTAAATAATCAGGAAATAAGACAGGATTACTTTAAGCCTCTTAGGTTTTCATTTGCAATCTTATTTGTCCTTTTAAATGAGTCTAACAAAAAGGACAATTTCGTGCTGAGAGACACCGGTGTGCCAAGCACTGTCCCCAGCCTTCTATGCCTTTTGGTTGTATATTATCCACTTTATATATATATATTTTCAAACAAATCCTAGCTCCTATCTGGTGATGATGTGAGGCCATCTAATCTTATTGTCTACTGAAATCACTTTTGCATCAAATCCACTGCAAAGCTCCAGCCATGCTTGCTATTGTATTCTGACAGTTATATTTATTATTGTGGCTTATCTTCACACTGACCACTGGCCAAGTTTATCCAACTGCCAGACCTATCGCCATTCCACGTCTCTGGGTTTTGTTTTTTTCCCGAACTAACAAATTCACTACAAATTTCCTAATTCTCAAGGAAAGGGTGTTGTTTTTTTTTGTTTGCTTTTTTGGGGTGGGTGGGTGGTGGGTACAAGGTTAGAGGACCCCAAGGGATGGCAAAACAACTCAAAGAAGAGGACACCCGAATGGTGACGGAGAATGTACCTTGGTTTTCATAGAATCATAGAATCACTGAGGTTGGAAGAGACCCTTGGGATCATCGAGTCCAACCATCTCCCCTACTCTACAAAGTCCTCCCCTACACCATGTCCCTCAGCACTGCATCTAAACGGCCCTTAAACACAGCCAGGGATGGTGACTCCCCCCCCTCCCTGGGCAGCCTGTTCGAATGCCCGACCACTCTTTGGGTGAAAAATTCCTTCCTAATGTTCAATCTAAACCTCCCCTGTTGGAGCTTGAAGCCGTTCCTTCTCGTTCTATTGTTAATTACCTGTGAGAAGAGACCAGCACCAACCTCTCTACAGTGTCCTTTCAAGTAGTTGTAGAGAGTGATGAGGTCTCCCCTCAGCCTCCTCTTCCTCATACTAAACAGCCCCAGCAGTGGGGCTGGTCTCCTCCTCTGAACCCTGCTGTGTCCTTGCTCCACTTTGGACAATTCCCGGGGGGGAGGTCTGGTTCATTTGGAGGTGGGTCCTGGAGCTCAGCCAGCATCGTACCACTGGGGCCCTGCATGAACATCCTGTGCTCCCCCCCTTCCTCACATCCTTGTGACCCTGGAGACACTGCTGCAGGTCTGCACTGACACAGCCTCCAAGCAGAGATTTCTGTGCCCTCGTTCGTTTGGCCATCGTTCTAAACAGCCATCAAGGGCCCTGTCTCTTGGAAAGCAGTGAGGCTTCCCAGAGCCCAAACACCTCTCTTCTCCTGTGGTGAAAGCGAGTATCAGCAGGTGGATTTGCTGATACAAGTGAGAAACCTCCAGCCACGCTGGGCAGAAACATGGCACGTGTGAGCCAAGACTATCTTGCCCGGCAGCAGCTCACGCTGCTGTAGCAGCATAAAATCCAGTGGAGCTCTGTCCTGGTGGGGCGAATGCAAACTTTGCATTACATCAACCAGCCCCCCCAGTTGGCCAAGTGGTCTTGGTCCTCTCTGCCACACAGAAATGTCCCACTGGCGAGAGGAGCAGGGTCACTGCGCCAGCAACCGAGCCACAGGCAGGAGATGCTCTGGAAAAGGCCGTAGGGTGCTCTGGGCACAGGAGTCTACCTTGACTGCAGCAAGGCTTTTGACAGTCTCCCACAGCACCCTCATAGGTAAGCTTAGGAAGTGTGGATTAGAAGAATGGACAGTGAGGTGGATTGAGAACTGGCTGAGAGACAGAGCCCAGAGGGTCATGATTAGTGGCACAGAATCTAGTTGGAGGTCTGTGACAAGTGGTGTTCCCCAGGGGTCAGGACTGGGTCCAGTCCTCTTCAATATATTCATCAATGACCTGGATGAGGGGATGGAATGTACCCTCAGCAAGTTCACTGATGATACAGCACTGGGAGGGGTGGCTGATACCTCAGAAGGCTGTGATGCCATCCAGAGAGACCTGGACAGGCTGGAGAGCAGAGAGGAACCTGAGGAAATTCAACAAGGGCAAGTGCAGGTGCTGCACCTGGGGAAAAATAACCCCCTGCACCAGGACAGGTTGGGGGGG